TTTATTCTTTTCAAAGTTCGGAGCTCAAATAAGGATAGCAAAAACATAATAAATGCAGAACAGCTGGGATGCAACACTTGGGATAAACTCCTTTACTCTTGGGATAAACTGTTTTGTGTGGGGGTTTTGTTTTCTCAACTAAACCTTCTAGTAAATGTTATTTTTCTCATCCATTGCTCAGCTCTGAAGATCACAGTGCTTTTCAAGGACTTGTTTTTTAATTGCTAAATAAAGGCTTAAAGGCTCCCAGTTTCTAAGCAAGTCCGCAAGACTAACCTCCAGTCTTATCATCCATACACACAGGGCCCCCTTGCAGGGATCATCAAGACCACTTCAGCAACTCTGAACGATTCACATAAGTGAAGATCTGCTGCTCAGTCAGGCCCTCTAAGAGTCATTAATTGACAAATTTTGCAGCAGTCTGAAAATTCATGGAAAGACACCACTTTCCCCACTACTATCTAGAAAAAAAAGCCTGTCACCCTGATTTCAAGGTCCTTCCTCTCTCTGGCCTTTTACTGGAACTTCCTAAATTTCAAAGATTACCCCAATTTTAAGCAGAACGGGTTGGAACCAACCTGGGTCCAAGAATCACTTGCTTCCTTCAGATTTCCTAGAGAGGAGGGATTTTCTGTTCAATCTTGGAGTACAATTATGTCAGTCATATCTAACTTAGAATCAATTATTTTCTAGTAAGATCAAAAATGGTTCTCTCAGTCATTTGTACGTAAAAATTAACACAACATAAATCCTTTTCTAATAAGGCCTCCTATCCAGTCCTTCCATGTACTTCCAAAAAATACTTACAAAAAGTTAATTTTGCTACTATGCCATTATTTTCTATAATTCTCATTAAATTATCTACGTACACATTCAATTGGAGGTGTAACACAAGAACTAGCACTTCCTCTAGCAGTGGTGACGAGAAATTAAAAAGGTCCCGACTAAAAGACTGGAGGACCAGGGAAGTACCCTGTTAGCCCCAGCAATGGTGTATCATCTGCTCAGCTAGACTTCTAATAGCTTCTTGATTAATGCAGTTCCAAACAATCTACATTCTCATACTGCACTAAGGAAATTTGTACCTTCATAGTGTAAAAAATATAAAATGTGCATTGAAAGACACTTTAGGTCTTCAAGCTACCCTAAATTAAGAAACAATAACCAGCTATGCAGGCTTATTTCATGCTTCCATTACAATCCCTTTTCCCCTGTGTATTTCAAAGAAAGCTGCAGCCAGACCTTATGGTCCCTACCTGGAACACATTTAATTCAGGAGGAATCTTTTAAGAAGACATTAATTAGATTAAAATGTAGCAAATCTCCCCTGAGCATGAGTAAATTTTAACTTTTCAAAGACCTGCAATAAGGTCGAGTTTTCAGATGGCCAGTGGCTCAGCCTGAGAGGTCTGCTCCAAAGCAGAGAAACTAGAGCTGCCAAATGAAGTGCATGTAAATGGTTGATTGTTTTTAACAGTGACAAAACAACGCATTTTCTCTAATTACATTTGGACAAATGGGTAAGTTTCTAAGCAAGAGTAGTTCAAAGAGATATGTCAGTCTCAGATGAATAAAGCACCATCGGCCCAAATGGGAAGGCTTAGAAAAGTTAAAAGCAAAGCCAAGTTGAAAACAGTCTCTTAATGGAAGTCCTGCACGACCTGTGCTTCGCTCAGTTCTCTTCACGGCAGGGACTATGGGATTTGTCTCTATCTTCCATAAAGTGCTGAGTGTACATCAGCACTTCACCCTACGCAACAGCAATGGTGTAAATGGAAGAACAGTGAACTACAGGAAACGGAATTGTATTTCATCCAAGCACCTTTCCACTAGTTAATCTTCACTTCTACATAGTCCCACTCATATACTTACACATTAACTTAGAAAACCATAGTAATACAGTGGCCTTTCTTGCTATGTCCTCCTTTTCTGACCCATTTGTATTAGAATGAATCACAAATAAATAAATCACCTGGCTTAAAGGTAATTTTATACTTTTTTATTTTTGTTTCTTTGACACATCAAATCCAAAGATTGTGTTGCATGAACATCACTAATTTCTTTATTTCAGCAGAAATTTTGGACAGAGTTCAAAAATGTGTCTTTCACCCCAACAAATCAAACTTCATACAAAATGCATCAATTACTTTAAATTTTGCAAAGAATTTCCATAAACATTGCAAAGAATTTTCTTCTTTTATTTGTTTACTCATTTTTGTGTTTGTCTCTAAGTCAAATTAATGGGGAAGGCAATCTTAGGTGACACACAGAAAAAAAAAAGTACATTTCTTTCACTGCTGGCCTGTGTGCAATTTCTTCCAACTCAGTACTCGTATCAATCCAAGTCAGTGCTTTGTTATAAGAACATAAGCCTGAACTGAGAATATACCCGTCTCTTGCGTATTACACAGAACTGATCTAGAAGGATATTATGCAAGTGTACACAACACACTCCAAACTCCAGGGCTACGCAATAAAATTTTATATGCTAGTCTGCAAGACTAAATGATTTCAGAACTTGAAAATGTTTCATATGAATTGGATCCTTTAAGGATTAAGGGTAGTTTGCCTTTGGTTTATGTAATGCTGTACAGCAGTCACACAGACTAATTTAGAGATGCAATTTATTTCTCTGTTGTAAGGAAGATACAGGCTACATCATAAATTGCAAAGGCTGCTTTATTAAGTGACAGCTAAAGCTGAGCAAACATTCACCTTGAATAATTTATGCATTTACTTTTTATTTTTATTTCAAGAATACCTGAGAGAAGATTACGGTCTCTCCAACATACCTGTTAACTGACATTACCCTACAGAATTTCTCACATGGTTTGCTGTTACATGCCTGATGCTAATAGCTATGCTTAGCTGTGATTGGTAAACAAAACTTACAGCATAGGCTGTTCTGGCTGAATGATCAGCAACAATCACATTTCTTGTACAATATAGATGTTATTTTTTTTTTGCTTGTAGTGCCCTGTTCTATCTGCCGTACTTTTATCAAGAACTTGACAAGTTTAGCTGAACATGAAATTAAAAAAACCCAACAATTGCTATTCTACAGTTAAGAAAACTGAGAGCACAAAGAAGTTAGGGAGGAAATCCTGACCCATCTCCTGCAGCATTCTTCAGTAATGTGGTGCTTACATAATGCAATGCTGAAGGAGAAGAAAGTCCAACTGGTTTAGAATAGGGATTAAAATGGTGAAAAATTTAGTTAACGACACCATTTCTTATCAGGATAGAGAAACCTTCAACAGAATGCTTCACAGCCTGGGGGAGGAAGGTACACACACATGTGGAAGGAAAGGGATTCCTTAGTCCAGAAACTGAAACACAAAAATCAATACACATTTATCCAAAATGAAATCTTGCAGAATGACAAACAGATCCCACTTCATTTTACTTTCCTCTCTGATTACACTATTCACAAAGAAAATGACAGAGCTCATCAACTTTAGTGCAAGCCAGAGAACTGACTCCAAATTCCAAAAAAATAAAGGTGTGGAGGGAAGACGATCAATAGTTACTGTCCCAGGAGAAGAGCAATAACAAAATATTTCTATTCATTCAGATACCAAGGAATCAGCCTCATTTATCTGTAGTTATCACTCCGCAGCAGCAGAGATTAGGGGTTCATGTTTCCTTAGCACTGATTTCTCAAGGAATCTAGGCCAAGTATTTTCTAAAGTGAGTATTATGATAAAACATGGAAGATACCAGTAAAGGTGAGGAGAAAATTGGTATCTTTAAAGGACATGTTAAAAAAATTTATTTCAGTGCTTTTTACCTATACTGATTAGAGCAGCAAGATGTTTTGAGGTTTTATTCTTGTGATGGACACAGGAGGAGGCATTATGGGATAAAAGGTGACACAAACTGAGAGGCTTTAGTTTGTTCCACATTTGCCATGTTAATTCATGAGAGTTCAGCATGGCAAAAAGTAGTAAGTTCTTCATGTGCAACTTATAAAAGCAGAAGTTGCTAGTATCATATAGTACTGAACAGCACAGGTGATTCCAGAACAAAAGAGAATCGGTTATCCCCCTACTTCTCACCACTTTAGTTTCTTGTGTGGCACAAAATATTATGAACTGGATTCCGCAGGACACTAAATTCACCCTATGCTGTATATGCAATCCTGCTCAGAAGTAGAGAAAAACCGAACTCAGTATATTTATTAGCCCCCTCATTTTCCAGTAGACATTCCTCTTAGGACAGCTGGATGTATGTGTTCAGAAACAGTAAGATTACCAAGCTGTTTTCTTCTCTTTTTCCGGGCTGTTATGAGTGACAGGTACTGGATTAAGCCACCGTGAGAATTTACCTTATCACAAAAGGGTCTGACAGAATCAAATGATAAGTATCACCTCCTCAGTGCTCCAGCCACCCCATGATTCATATACATCTATTGGATTATCACACTCTTTTCTCCTAGCTTTGCCTCAGTGTTGTTCACACCACTATCAGCTTCTTTTTAATGCCTCCAGCTGTCATTCCAAGTTAACACAAATCAGCTCTAAATTTTTATATTACTTTGACTTGAAAAGAGAGAAATATTATTTCAACATGAGATCTTAAATAAATCTAATAGGAAAATTTCCAGCAAAAGTGGATTATTATCAGGGGCATGGGAGGGAGGCAGGGAAGCCAGGCACTTTAAAAATAAGTTTTCTGAAGTCCTCAATGGAATTTCTAACGAAAAGAGATGTGGTGAGACAGGGAGAACACCAATTATGACCAGGATCCCAATGCTCAAGTAGAGTTTCCATTGACCAGAAGAAATAGGGTTGAAGCAATCTGGAGATGAGGTGCTTGCCCTTCCTGTTTACCTCTGTGGAACAGGAAGGACAATAAAATATACCTCACCAGGCCATGCTAAAGCTAACTTGACTGAAGCTTTTTAAAGAATGAGTTAAGTGCTTGAGTAGAAGAGGCTATAAAAATGCTCTATGCATCTATATTTGTGCACAATGCATATTATCAGCTGTGAAACTCACCCAATATAGCAACGACTTCATCATCCTGGATTACTTCCAAAGACCCCGAAACCACAAAGCAAAGGCTGTCGACACTCTCGCCAGCGTGGTAGATCAGGTCTCCGGGGGCACAGTGCACTGTCTGAAATTCCATGGCAAGTGCTCGAAGGCACCCATCGCTCGCCAGCCTGAAGGCTGGGTGCTCCTTGAAAACTTTGCGGTTCAGATGCACACAGATATCTGCTCTCATGTCCTTAGGGCATATCTGCAAAACCTGAGAAGGAAATTAGGCAATCAGTTCCTGTGCATGGCTTATATGTGCCTATTATCCCTAGTTCACTATACAGGGTTTAAGAACTAATTTCCTCCTTCTTTTAAGATTTCTAATCTCAGTCTGTATATTTATTTTTATATTATTTATACACATAAGCCACAATACTAACTTAGACTACTTTACAATACCTGAAGGAAAATAATGTTTTCATCTCAGCAACATGCTCTGATGGATGTTGAGTTACCAGGATAAGGCCTCAGGTTTTTAAGACAATAAAACTGAGAGCACAGCAGTACAGAAAGTGGTGGAGAAAAGCTTCCTGAAGGATTGTTTCTAGATTGTCACTCTTTTGATAGGCAGATTCCATGAAAAGCCTGTACAAATTATACACTGCAAGTAAGAGAATATTGTATAGAGGAGAAGTGCAATCTCATATCCCTTTAGTAAAAAAAAAAGTTATTAAAAGTTTCATTAACTCATAATACTGAGATTTGCAGGTATTCAAATTCACCCCTCAGTGGCAGTAACAAGTTTGTTGTTCACACAAGAAAGGGACTTTGAGGTATGATACTGTGTTGGGCAACTTTTTATCTTCCAAATGCAATGTTCCTCACAGCAGTTCATGATGCGTGCTCCTAAGGGTACACAAACTGATGCTTAGCACAGCGGGTACCCGTCAGGGCCATTTCTGAAGGTTTTTAATACAATACAAACAGCCGAGTGGAAAGAATACAGAATTACTACTACATGTACAGATTAAAAGTTCCTGGCAAAAACACTGGAAATGCATAACAGGAGCAGGGTTTTGGGATGACAAAATCCTTGGAGGATAGTCTGTGATGAAGTACATCTCAGGACATATTATATGAGAAAAACATTGAGTAGTGGAAGTTTGCCTCTTTTTTTTTTTTTTTGTTAGTAATATCTATTCCATCCAATTAATGGGCACTCTGGGGGAGCTTCAGAGTTACTCCTACACATTTTCCTGGATGGAAAGAGATGGTTGCTTCAATGCAAACACTCCTGGAAAGCAGGCAGCACTATGGCTATGCCTACACCTTGCAATGGGGCTCTCTGCAAGATCTGAGCAGAGAACCAAGCTCATAACTCTGTGCATGGCACTGGTTCCAGATATTACGCTTGCTACTCCAAAGGCAAATGACTATCACCAATATCATCATCTTTGGCCCACCTCCAAGCAGACCTGCTATTACAGATACTACTTCTGAAAGAGATATATTTCCATAGTGCTTAAGTGTAGGGCACTCATGGATGATCTCTCCTGGCTGCCCCACAGGGAGCAGCAGCCGAACCTGCCAGTTCTCAGTTTTCCAGGCTCAAAGAAGTGGGTCGGGGCACCAGGACCTGCATTTAACGTGGAACACAGGCAGAGGCTATAGCTGTCTTTGCAATTATCTTATTTACTCTGGCAACAAAACCATTCTGTATTTGCAGATGCTTGCCAAACTTTGCTACTGGAATTACACACACACACTTCACAGTTACTTGATTATCACGCACAAAAAGGGTTGTTGTAATAGAAATAGTAGTAAAGAAACCAGAATATACAAGAGTATATTTAAAATGAGGCTCTTAGCCAAAAACCCCTTGGTTTCCCAGTCTAAGAGGAAGTTAACTCATTTTCCATTCTCCATTTAGAGAAGTTGTCTGCAGACTTCACAGAAATTAAAGGGATTAAAGACATTTGAGAGTTACAGACAAATGGCAGAAGACTTTCATTTGTATGGGAGGTAAGAAACATATCTTCATGGTTTAATTTTAGAATGTTTCAGCAGCTCTTGGTTAAATTTTGTTATACTGGCATTTTCTAGACTTACAGACTTTGCTTTTAGCTGATTATTCACTCCTTGGCATGCCTGCAGTTAACACCAAATTTGTCGCCTACAAAATAGTGAGAAGACTGATTCTGTGCTAAGTTCATCTTTAAGTATCTGCCTCATCTGTAGAAAACAGCACTGCATTACACAGCAGCACAACTACCACTGTTCTGTCACAGGAGCAATACATGTTTTATTTATTGCATGTCATCCTAGCAGTTATACACAGGCATCGAACCAATGGAACTCAGACCTGAGAGTTTATGGATTGGCACGGCCATTAGTCGGTCTTATATCTGCTAGCTTTTGCTATGCAGATGAAAGTTGATTTCTTGGTTTTACAGTCATCACTACTGGCAGTTCAGCTATGAACACACCAGTTACTGAAAACAACACCATATTAAGCTCTTTGATGTCCTGATAATTGGAGACTTTTTTCCTGTTTATTAAGATAATTCTCAAAGGCTACAGTGAGTTGTGCTTGGTTTGGTTATCCTGCTGTCTCCAAAGGCATTTTAAAGCATTTCTCTCCTTATCAGAGGAAGCCAAGAATGAACTTTGAAGATAAGCTAAACCAAACATGTTTTACATAGCAATTTTTTCTTGTTGCTTTGTTAAAATGATGAGAGGGGCTTGCACTGGGGGAGTGAATGAAAGCACCAGCATTCTTTACACTATGTGTCCTCAGATGTTATCTCTCCACCTTCCCCAAATACCTCAAACCCATAACCCCGCACAAAGATATTTTATGAGAAAACAGGCAGAGCAGTTTCTAATCAGCACTATCCAGTACTAAAACACCATTTCTTTCTGACAGCTAGTATGACGGACAGTGCTTACCAGAATCATGGTCTGGGATCTAAATGGCAGGTACGCTGAAGCCCATTTAGGAAAGCAAACAGTACCCTGTGTACCTACTGGTCTCCAGACAGCCCAGCGCAAGGCCACATCTGTTCTACTCTTTCATAATGACACTTTAACAGCTAGACAGAAGTGAGATTGTTTGCTCTTTAACTGCATCATCTACAGTTTAGAATACTAAATTAAGATGCCAACCAGAAGGCTGGTGACCAGAGCATTGGTATGATTTCCTGAATGAACGACCCCACAAATCATATCTCTTTACAGTCGGAAGAAAAACAGTATCTATCTCCATAAAAGCTAGCAACTAATATGAAAGCGGCAAGTAGTTAATTAGTATCTTTAACCTGCACACAGAATATTACATTCAAATTCTATGAAGAACAAACAAATTTTACTTTGTATTCAGGCCCACAGAGCTGCAAACAACCTTACACAACAGAAATATTGCAAAAAAACCCCAACACAAAAACCCCAACATTTGAAGAAATTCTGAGGTTGTGTTAGAACTTGGAACTTTTTTAGTTATCTTCTTTATTTACTGAAAACCAAGCTCTTTCCTTCATCATTTGTATACTATTTCATGCCGTATCACGAGAAAAACATATGTACTTTTATCACTAACATATGTCAGTATGACAGAGTAGCTGAAATACTGTATTTGAAAGTTTAAAATTAAGGGAAGGTACTACATGGAACTATTTAAAGAATATTTGTCTTCTTTACTAAGAAAGTACCTCCTGTTTATTTTCATGAAATACTTTCAGGATGTGACTTCTTTCCTTGCAGTTTCACTTAACTTACCTTTTCAGTATCTATTCCTCTGGACATTGACCAGGTGGAAACAATGTAATCCATCACACGTTCACTCAGTCCTTTAGGGACCTGGTAGAGCTTTAGAAAGTCCCGGACACTGTTCAGCATTTCATGATATCTGTTTGTATTAGCATACATTTGCTGAAATATGGTTGTCACATTACCAAAAATGGTTGCATACAGAAGGGCTGTAAAAAAAGAAAAACAATAGGTATAATACATAATAAGTTGTGATCATCAGTCTGTGTCCCAGGAAATTGCCAGGCCCATAGAAATTCATGCAATGTCAGTGCTTTGTTAGGAAGGCCCAACGAGCACAAGCATTTTATAGGTCACCTTCAGCACTACAAATTGAGGACCACCACCTACTTTTGTGATGGCGAGTCCTGCAACACAGAGTTCCTGCAACACAACTATTTGTCATTGTCCATCAAACAATTCAGTAGTATCCAAACCCTTACAGAACCACAATAGAAGACACAAGAATTTTAAGACAAATAGCTGGACAGCAAATACTTTAAAATTTCATCTCTGGTTTATAGTGCCTGTGTTGAAATGCCATCAGTGACAGATTTCCAAGCTTTAAGTGCATTACCACAGTAGTAAGCCGAGTCATCATTACCCACCTCAGTGTGACAACAACAATGCATCAAAGCAGAAGATGGAATATGTAATAAACAGCTACCATAGTCAGTGATTTATAGATGTAAGTTTAATAATACATAAAAACTCGCATTATGTTTTATATTCTTCAGGCAGAACAGCAAGGCCTGAGGCAAGAGCTCGAGCCCTCAAAGGCAGACGGCTGCACAGCCCTTCTGACTTCACTCAACACAGTTATGAAGCCAGCTGGTTCATCAGGATGGGTTTAAGAATAAACACGAGAGAGAAAAAACAGACAGTATTTCCAGGTGTGGAGAGAAGCAGATGAAAACACACAGGACTTGAGAAGATCCGCCTGCTGAAGCCCAAGACAGAACAGCAGGCTGGTGGCAGCCTCAGTGGTCATCTTTTGACAGCTTGCAGAGGCTGGGGCGGAAGCTCTTCCAGCCAATCCAGCCCTGAATGAAAGGGAAGGACTGGAAGCCTCAAGTGGAGTTTTCCTATGTTGTGAATCAGGTCAGTGATATGTGAGGGGCCAGCTGTAGAGGGAGACGAACAGTCAGATGGCAGATGCACCGATAACCACCAGTAAGTGCTCTGGAAGTGAAATTTTAAAAAATAAGAAAATATTTTGCCTTATCTAAATACACCTTTATGCTGTTTATTTCCTCCCTCACCCCCTCTTAAAAAAAAAAAAAAAAAAAAATATTCCCTCATCCCATTAATTCCTTTGAGAATGCAGCTATTTATTCATGTCAGTGTTACAGGCAGATAACCTTAAGCCAACTAAAATGCTTTAAGGTTTTATGACCAAAAAAACCCTTTGATAATGTGCAAAAGAAAATTACAGAACTATCTTTTCCCTTATCACCAAGAGATGTAATTTAAACTTAGACTTACTCAAGGCCTTTACACTCCTGATGCTCTATAGAATTCCCTCCTGATGCTGTATAACTTCTTTTCTTTTTATGAGTTCCTGTAGAGACCAGCTCTCCCCCTTTCTAACTACCGCTCTGTACAGATGGGTATAAAAATATATATAAAAATGTGCAAACTCAGTTTAAAAAGAAGTGGAGAGTATGAATAGGGATACAGTGACCAGAAATGTATAGATTATTTCTCTGTTTAACCTTAACTCGTGCCTGAGCTAAACCATACCGGGAGGTCTGATGCAATGAGTACTGACGAATGAAGAAATGCTTTAAAAAAAAGATTTACTATAAATGCTCCTTAATCCATGAGTATTTTGTATTTGAACAGCATTACCTTTCCCTAACTATGTCCTGTTTTGCTCTCTGTTATGCAGATGCAAACACAACCCTACGATATTGCTACCTTAGGCCCTACTTACATGGACTTTTACCCTAACAGAACATGAACCCAGGGCCTCCAAAACTGCAAAGTCCCACTGGCAGGACACTGCAGCAGCACAAAGGCATCCACAAACGTTGTTCTTCTGCCAGCCAGTATAGCGCTGAAAATAGGTGACAGTTTAGGAAGAGGGTCCCAAGCAAATTCTTGTCTGCAGATTTCTGGGCGACCATACTTGTGTGCATACAACTATCTCTTGCTCTCTGGTGAACAGTGAGACCTGAGGGTACAGTATCTTGGGATGTATAGCTCTATGCCAGAAAAGGTAAAATGGAGTCCCTACTCTGTCCCATTACTGTCCAGCTACATGAAGCCTAAAGAAAAACCAGAAATTTGATTCTTCACTTTGATTATTATGAGGCGAGCAGTCCTAGAGCAATTTCCACTGCAAATTGCAGCTACTATGCTCCACTATGACAATTATTTTGGCAAGAAAAATTATTCCTGCCTACATGAATTTTTTATTTTTAAAAAAATCCCCGAATTTACAATCCTTAATTTATCATTAGCTAACCCCTTTATTACTATTAAAGACACATTAAACCCAACAATTTTTGCAGCCTAATATTGGGTAGATACTTTAGCATATTAAACATTGACCTCTTCTGCACAGAAACAGCTTGCTGTGTGCCTTTCCTTCTTTTCAAAGGAATAATGAAATGAACCCACTGCAGTACACTGCAGGCCAAGAAAGATTTCAGAAACACACACTCTACTACAGGAAGACAGTTGGGCAATTTATGACAGAGCACAATCTCCAACATCTCCTCTCCATGAATGTCAAGATCCCTCAGAAAAGATAGAGCCCCTCACCCTTACATTAATATTCTTTTCTGACAACAGATAAAGAAAAACACATTGTCCCCAACAATGTGGCCACCCATTTACAATGCAGTCTGTGTCACCCCATTTAAACCAGTGTTTAAATAACGTCAAAGATAAAAGCATAGTAATTTCAATAGCCAATTACCCGCACAAGTGAATCATGAAGGTCAGACACAGGTTGGAAAGGTCACCAAATCATCTGCTACTTTTAATGATGTAACAAATAAGAATAGAGACATAAATACAAGTCAGTGCAGGTCTCAGCTACCACAGTAAAAGATCTGGGATCTCATTTTAGAATTATAAGAGGAAAAATTTCTATCTGTAAGAATGAGAGGTTTGCAATTACCCCAATTACAGATGTAAGTGCTGCATGCGGTTCCTGAGATGAATCATCAGATTGATGATGATTTGTTCAAACTGCACTCGTTCAAAGGCCTTGCATACAAAATGTGTGCATAAAACCTATACAGCAACAAGTAAGACCAACATCAACTAGTGAACAACTTCTTACATCTTGCCCCCAAGACTTGCAGTGCTTTCTAAAACAGAACTGCCTCCATTTTCACTTTCTGGAAAGCTGATCCAGAAAGTCTGTCTGCCTGCATGTAAATTCCACTTAACAATTAAAAAACCAAGACAAACGCCTTTTACATACTTAAGGAGGAGCCTGTGCTAATCTAAATACCATTCAAAGAGCAAGCACCTGGATTTACAGACAGTAGATGATTTAAATGTATAACTGCACTTTTGTTTCACTAACAAGTTCCTAGTTCACAACAAATTATTGAGTTTGTAGATGGCTGAGAGAAAGCACAGCCTTGAAAACCTGTTGCACTATATCACTTCTCACTGAAGACGAAACATAACCATAAATTAACCACAAAAATTGCATGCCTCAAAGGCATTTTTCAGATAACACATTGTGAGGTCACACAAAATTAACATTGATCAGATAAAAAGAAAAGCAGAAATTAATAATTGTATGGATTATAACACAATTATATGAGAAAAACACATTGTTTTTAAATGTGCAAATAGAACAATGTAAGGGCTTATAATTGCTTGAGATTAGGGGTCTTGATTAGTGATAATTATGCCTACTTACGGGTAGACAGCATGCAGTTAAAAGAAAAACACTGAACTGTTAATTACAGTCTGCAACCAAATACCAAACTGAACAGGTATCTATCAATGAATTGTCTACAGCACTAGTTTAGATAGAATTGTTATTTGTAGTCTTGCAACTTGAAACTAAAGCATCTAAAGCAAGATTTACTTATCAAGTATCTATATAACCTTCTAGAATAGTACAGAATTAAATAGGTTGCCCCATTTTCTATCAAGACAGATGCAGAGATGCTTAATTTGCTACTTCTTAGGAAGCATTGTATATTATAAAGTTTCCTATTTCTAATCTTTTCTCTACCTTTTATTTTTATTAATACAATGTATAGAGATATCATTTCATTTAGCTAGTAAAGAATAAATGGAAACAACTTAGCCATAACCTGATAGGTCAATTAATATTATGCACTTTATGAAGTTTCACAATATATTTACATAACATTTTCACATGGTATAAAACAAATTACAATTGCTACTATCTTCTTAGCATGTACATCAATTCCTGAATTTCACAACTTGGGGAAAAAGACATTTTTTGAAGTGAAAGTAAATTCCCAGAGGAGCTGTCCCCCCTGCTGTTCCAGTGACTGCTAGATTCTGCTCTTCCCACAGCTCTCTGTTCTCCCAGACTGAACCAATACACTGCTCCACCTCCCTCCTCTTTCACTCCACCAGCTTGTAATTTGCACCTCAGCTTAGGTACCCCACACGCAAAAGCAAGGCAGTAGCAATGGCAAAGATCAAAGAACTGGCACACTACTATCAGCTGAGCAAGTCTAAAAATCAATTCAATGGCAAACAGCAAAGTAGAAAGCCTGACTAGGCCTTAAGGGACATGAGCATCAAGTCATGTGGCAGAACCACTTGACTTCTAGGATGAAAGATGAGAAACCACTGGCAAATTTTGCTAAACTCTTGGTCAAATCCTACCGCAAATCTTCTCACACTCATCATCACATTTGCTGAAATCGTCCTGTGACAAGAGATGGGACATAGAAGGACCACACTAGGCTCCAGCTACAATGAAAATGTCTCCCCTGCAGAAGGATAGGCCACCAGTGAGGACACAGTTGATAAGGGCTAAACAACAGCACATCAGAGACGTGATTTTTTTTTTCCTCTTCCCATCACCAGAAAACCCAGGAACTGCAATGAAATGAAAGCCAGAGACATAAACAAAGGAACAGCTGGTCTAAGAAGCCACTTAAGCAACTACCAAGGACTAGAGTAGTAGAAACATCTGTGCACCTTAAAATAGGCT